AAGATTCCTGGCTGAGGCAGCTTTAGAGCAGAAGTTAGATTTTGTTGCTCTATCAGAGACGGGTAGAGATAACTTCGCACCACAGTTTCTCTCCTCTCTTGTGGGTGGTATTGATTTTGATTGGCATTGCCTCCCTCCACGAGGAAGATTGGGTGGTATCTTACTAGGTGTGAGATGCGATTCGCTTGAAGTCCCAAGTGTAGTGATGGGCGACTTCGCAGTGAAGTTTCGAGTTAGGTCCAGGATAGATGGTTTTAACTGGGCTTTGGTGGCGGTATATGGTGCCGCACAGCCCGAGCTTAAAGCGGAGTTTCTGGCGGACCTTGTTCGAATCTATGGGTCAGAACAACTGCCAATTTTAGTTGGAGGTGATTTCAATATCATCGGGAGGAGAGAGGAGAAGAACAATGATAACTTTGATGGCAGATGGTCCTTCATGTTCAACACCATTATTGAAAGCTTGGATCTGAGAGAGATAGAGCTTTCTGGTTGAAAGTTTACATGGGCTAATGCTCTGCCAAACCCAACCTATGAAAAACTTGATCGAGTTCTTGCGAGCGTGGAGTGGGAACAAAAGTTCCCTCTGGTTACGGTGCAAGCTCTTTCGAGGGGAATATCTGATCATACCCCATTGTTCGTGGACTCAGGGGAGCCGAACCACGTGGGTAACAAGAACACCTTCTCCTTCGAGATGTCATGGTTTGAACGTGAGGGGTTCTTGGACTTGATTGCCAGGGAATGGGTTAAAGGTGTAGGAGGCAAAACTGCTATTGAGCGTTGGCAGAATAAGATTAGGCATTTGAGAAGCTTCTTACGGGGTTGGGCTAAGCACCTCAGTGGTGAGTATAAGATTGAAAAGGATAGACTCCTTACTCTTATACAGGACCTGGACATACAGGCCGAATCCAATGTTTTATCACCAGCAGAGCTTCAGGTTAAAAATGAGGCGGAGAAGAGGTTAAAAGAACTACTCCGCGAAGAAGAACTGAAGTGGGCTTTTGCGTGCTAAAGTCTGCAAAGTGGTCCAGGGGGACGCGAATACTCAGTTCTTCCATTTGATAGCTAATGGCAAACACAGAAAGAAGCGTATCTTTCAGCTTGAGCAAGATGAGGGCACTATTTTAGGTCAGGATAACCTAAAAACATATATTACCGACTATTATAAGCAGTTATTTGGACCTCCAGAGGATAATAGTGTGTCCCTTGATGAGTCCAGAACTGAGGATGTACCTCAGCTATCGGCTGCCGATAATGAGATTCTGGTTGCCCCGTTCTCTGAGAAGGAGGTGTTTGATGCTATTGCACAGATGAAAAATAATAAGGCTCCCGGACCGGATGGATTCCCGGCAGAGTTCTATAAAAAGTGCTGGCACATTATTAAGGGGGATTTATTACCTATGTTCCATGATCTGTTCTCTGGACAGCTTCAATTATTCCACTTGAATTTTGGGACTATCACACTGCTTCCTAAGAAGACGAACGCGGTGAGAATTGAGCAATTCAGGCCGATCTGTCTCCTCAATGTTAGTTTCAAAATTTTCACCAAGGTCGGGACTAACAGACTCACACAGATTGTGCATTCTGTGGTGCAACAGTCCCAAACCGCTTTCATGCCGGACAGAAATATCCTTGAAGGGGTGGTAGTCCTGCATGAAATGCTCCATGAAATCCATTCCAAAAAATTAGATGGAGTGATTTTAAGGTGGATTTCGAGAAAGTGTATGATAAGGTCAAATGGCCATTTCTCCAACAGTCATTGCGTATGAAAGGTTTTGATGAAGCCTGGCGCCGACAGGAGTGAATCATTTACGCAAAAAGGTAGTGTGGGAATTAGAGTTAATGATGACATAGGTCACTATTTCCAGACAAATAAAGGCCTAAGACAAGGAGATCCGATGTCCCCTATCTTGTTTAACATTATGGTGGACATGTTAGCAATTTTGATAGGAAGGGCTAAGGAAAATGGTCAAGTAGGTGGATTGGTACCTCATCTTATTGATGGAGGTGTCTCTATCCTTCAGTACGCTGATGATACAATCATCTTTATGGAGCATGACTTGGCCAAGGCGAGAAATATGAAGCTTGTGTTATGCCTATTCGAACAATTGACCGGGTTAAAGATCAACTTTCATAAGAGCGAGCTGTTCTGATTTGGCAGGGTCAAAGATGAACAGGATGCTTATAGGCAATTGTTTGGATGTGAGTTGGGAGAGCTACCCTTCTCTTACTTGGGGATTCCTATCCATCATCGTAGGCTGACAAACAGAGAATGGAAGTGCATCAAGGACCGATTTGAGAGGAAAATGAGCTGCTGGAAGGGCAAGCTCATGTCATACGGAGGCCGATTAATCCTAATTAATTCGGTGCTCACGAGTATGCCAATGTTTCTTCTATCGTTCTTTGAGGTACCAGTTGGTGTGAGGAAGAGACTGGACTTCTATCGATCGCGTTTCTTTTGGCAGGGTGATGAGCTTAAAAGAAAATATCGGCTTGCTAAATGGGATATCATCTGTAGACCGAAAGACCAAGGGGGTCTAGGTATTGAGAATCTCGAAATTAAAAATAAATGCCTTCTTAGCAAGTGGCTGTGGAAACTCTCTTCGGAGAATGATGCTATGTGGGCTCAAATCCTTCGCGGCAAGTACCTCCAGACAAAAACTTTGTCTCAGGTTACAGTACGGCCGACCGACTCGCCCTTCTGGAAAGGTCTCATGAAGGTCAAGGAGGCATTGTTTAATAGGACAAAGTTTGTTATTGGAAACGACACGAGTACACGTTTCTGGGAGGATACTTGGCTCGGTGACACACCCTTGGCCATCCAATACCCTTCTCTGTACCGCATTGTTCAACGACGTGAGGTGTCCGTTGCATCGGTCTTTCAATCTACCCCCTTAATATCCAGTTCCGACGAGCGCTAGCGGGCAATCGTTGGGAAGAATGGCTCCGTCTAGTTAGGAGACTGATGGAAGTCCAGGTTTCTCAACAACCCGATGAATTACGCTGGAAGTTGACTAAGTCTGGAGCATTCACGGTTAAATCAATGTATATTGATGTTATTAATTCGAACTCCATTCCTACGTCCAAGTATGTTTGGGATGTCAAAGTTCCTTTGAAAATAAAAGTGTTTATGTGGTTTGTCCATAAACAAGTTATTTTAACTAAGGACAACTTGATAAAGCGTAATTGGACAAGACCTACTAGGTGTAGTTTCTGCGATCGGGATGAGATTATCAAACACCTCTTTTTTGATTGCCCGCTGGCCAAGGTACTTTGGCAGACGGTCCACATTGCTTTTAATATCAATCCCCCGAATTCTGTTAATGAGTTATTTGGGACATGGCTTAATGGGATTGAGCCTGACTTAGCGAGACATATTCGGGTTGGAGTTTGTGCTTTGCTGTGGACTATCTGAAATTGCAGAAACGATTTGGTCTTTAACAGAATAGCATATATACATTTTTTGCAGGTCTTATTCCGAACTACGACACTGATCCGTTCGTGGTCGCTACTCACCCAGACGGAGGCGAGGGGGCATTTGGTTACTGGGTCTTTCCGCTGGGAGATGGTAGCTCGGGATATCTTCAACCGGTTTGGATGGCGGTCATGTAATAGGATAGGCATTTAGTATCCCTATCTAGTTTTAGCCAGCCGGTTGTGGCATCTTTTATTGGCTAGTTGATGTTTCTAGCCTTTTTTGGCTCTGTGTGAGCTTTATGTGCTTTTCTATGACTTTAGGAGACCTTTGGAACCATGTTGGTACTACTTTATTTTGATAATAAGATGGCCGTATGCATCGTTCTGATGCAGAGGCCGGGGAATCCCTCTTTTCGAAAAAAAAGTACGGTATATTATATTGGCAATATGAAATCGGTGGAATAAAAGATCACAAGGCTTTGATACGATCCACAAGGTATGATACTATTTCAACCCAACGATTGTTGAACAATATATTTTCGAAAACACTAACGCCCACACGTGTGAGTGTTACCCAATTCGCCCACACGCCTGGATCATCGTTCATTGTCTTTTGCACGAATCTTGACACGAAAAGGTGGATTTGGTGTGCCACGTAGGACGGGGCTGGTGTGTGGGCGTTGGAGAGTTTGCCCACACGCACGCACTATGCTGTTTGCCAGCTGCATTGTGTGGGCGAACTGCTTTTCGCCCATACAGCCACCAACTAGGTCATGCGGGTGTGGGCGAACTGCTTTTCGCCCACACGACACTACTACCTTGTGGATGGCAACTGCAGTTACGCGAACATGGCAACTCGGTACACACACATGGCAACTGTGATTCTTTGCTACATGGCAACTGCAGTTACGCGAACGTGGCAACTCGGTACACACACATGGCAACTGTGATTCTTTGCTACATGGCAACTGCAGTTACGCGAACGTGGCAACTCGGTACACACACATGGCAACTGTGATTCTTTGCTACACGGCAACTGCAGTTGCGCGTACGTGGCAACCAGATAAACACACATGGCAACTGTGATTAACAATACATGGCAATTATGGTTGGACCACACGTGGCAACTAGGTAAACACACATGGCAACTACTGTTTTGATCATATGTGACAAGTAGTTAATCACACTACGGTTTGATTACACGCGGCAACTACCATAAATTAGACATGGCAACTATAGTTAACCAAAACAGATAGAGTTGCCATGCTTTTACAACTACACTTGCCATCCCGGATGACTACATCTGCCAACCAGGATGGCAACTAAATCGTCATCCCGCGGGGTACTAACGTAGCTGCGTCAGGACGTGTGGGCATTTTTGCTTCGTGCCACACGCACGGGGTGGAGATGAGTAGTATTTGTTGGGCGTGTGGCACGAAGTAGCCGCGCCCACACGTGTGGGCAATTCTAATGTCCGCCCACACACAACCCGTGTGGGCTGCCTCCTGCTCACACCACACGGTGTGTGGGCGCATGTCGTATATGCCACACGTGTGGCAGTTATCGGCGTCCTATATTTTAATCACACTAACCCGACGGTATCTTGGCGTGGTGTGATGGGAATAACCCCAGCCCGGCTGGTCAACCCCACCGTGGGCTTGATCCCCACCACCGAGTTCAGCGACGCCGGGCAGAGTATCGAGCCGTCCGTCTCCGTCCCCAGCGTCACCGCCGCCATGCTCGTCGCTGCCGCGATCGCCCACCCCGTGCTTGACCCACACGGCGTCGCCGACAGCACGTAGGGGTTCTAAACGAAGGGAGCATTAATTACTAGAAGGATGGAGTCAAATGAGAAGAGCGCTCAGGTGTGCTTAGTTACCCTGCCCCGGCCGCCGCGGGCGCTCCAGCTGCCACCGGAGAAGCTGCGGAAGTTGGCCCACTCGTCCATGTTTGCCTTGCCGGCTTGCCCAGCACCACGGCGCCGGCGCGCCGCAGCCTGCGCACCACGCCGGCGTCCCGCCTCACCACGGAGCCGAGAAGCGCGAATGACCCAGCCGTGGTGTTGAGCGCGTCGCGCGTGGCGATGTTGTCCTTGAGCAGGACGGGCACGCCGTGCAGCGCGCCGATGGCTCGACGGTGGCGGCCGGAGCAGCGCTCCGCGTCGGCGCGGGCCGCCTGCGGGAGCGCGTCCGGGTTGACCTCGATGACGGCGTGCAGCAGCCGGTTGAGGCGGCTGATCCGGTCCAGGTAGAACCGGACGAGGTCCACCGAGGTGAGGCTCCCGTTGTTGAAGCCGAGCTGGATGCTGTCCACGCTCGCCTCCTCGATCCGGAAGCCATGAGCACCGGCGAGCGCGAGCACGAGGGCGGCGACGGCGACTGCCAGGAGCGGCCGAGGCATCCTGGAGGGCAAAGAAATGTGAAGTCAATGTGCGGGCTCAAGTGTGCTCAGCTCAGCTGAAGCTAGCTGCTCACTCAACTAATATTCTGTACGTCCTTCGATTTCTCCTTTCCCTTTGAGCTCTCACTTTGTACCGTGCGATGGACTCCAATTGGCAAATCATATATACAATTAAGCAAGCAAGCACACGGGCTGTTGGTGGAAAATACGAATGCAGCTGGTGAACACAAGTTTCCTTCCGAGAACGTCACGGGCGACGTACAACCGGCATGGTGGTGCAATAAAAATAGGTGTTTATTTACACATTATATGTGTCCTATTTTTGCCCGTTGTGGCTATTTGTTTTTTATCTTGTCTTTGTTTGCCTACTTGAGATGTTTTTGGCAGTTTGGTACTTTATCCATCTTAATAAATGGATATGTGCGTCACTTGATGTCAGAGAGGCAGGGGGTAATCCTCCTTTTCGAAAAAAAGAATGTCTATAGTCCATTCAAATGGTCAAAAAATTTATGGAATGATCTACGTCATTCTAATGGTCCTGCCGCGCTTTCGTGGATGATGTGATCGGAAGTGTCATACAAAAATCATATCAGAAGTGCCCTATGTGTATCATGGTTCAACAATTATTACAAAACTACTCCACATACGATATTTAGGTATGGTTTATGTACGATAGTTAATCTAATGGTCCTGCT